CACAGTTTTTAGGGTTCTTCGACTTTTCTACTTTTCTTGGTGTTTTCCTTTAAGTCGTTTCTTTTCCCCCCTCTTCTTTCTGAATCACCGCATAGAATTATGGATGCAGTTCTTACTTGTTTAATTCTATCTCTCATTTCATATTCGACCTATGATTCATTTCCACTTTATTCCATTCAATGCTTAGATTTATAGAGTTTATCGTAATGGATCCAGAACTGCTACGACAACGTGCCGCTTTCCAAAAGCATGCAGCACGAACAGTATCCGTTCAACAACGTCCACAAATACAGTTGGTGAGTTCTCGTACTGCCCTGCCTTTTCAGTTCTCTGCCTTGAAATCCCTTTTTTTCGTAAAATCTGTTCTATATCTCCTCGTTCATATATGTGTTTCTAGCCGTCGCCGTCAGCCAGCCATACAACTTACAATGCTGAAGCAGCCAAAAAGAAGAAAAAGCCAGCTCAACCTTCGTCCAAACCAGGTATTTCTCCTCATAAATAGAATACTTCCATTGAAATTGTCATGCAATCGTAACTAAGTTCTACAATCGCATCATTTAGCAGCAGAACTCGATTTTCGAACAGCAGTATCACACAGTAATGCTGCGAATTTTGGTACGATGGCCAAGATTGTCGACTACATGAAGGTAGGTTTCTTGCAGCAGTTCCTCCTACTTTTCAAGGATTATTTTTCTAGAAACGACATCTTAGCCAACAACAATGGCCGCTTTCATTGCAAGAGATTTTGGATGAATTACAAGTTTATGATTTGCCGAAAAGATCTGAAGCATGGTTGAGAGAGGTACGACTGACTTCAATCTTAATTCCGTTTCTTTTTGTGTACTTGGTTTTTCATGTTTGATATCGCATTATCTTGACTTTAGCTTCCGGAACATTCTCTTGTGTCCCTAACTACTTTTTTCGCTCTTAGTAAAGCTTCAGTTCAGTTAATAGGGAACCATTTTTGTCATGTATCCGATGCTCCTATTCTCAAACGATCATACATCAGCAAAATATGAGTTTTTTATTTTTTAATTTCAAAGCGTTATATTTTTTAATGATCCTTTACTGCTATATGCCGGAGGCAAGCCTGCTTCGCGGCAGTTCATTTGCAGCTTCTACTTCCTTATCTTGTCGGACAGCTCATTATGATTATCCACTTCATTCTTATGTTTTCTTTCCAAGCACGGCCCCTTATTGATGACGTTTGACTGACTGCCTGCATATTTACCAATCAACAACTGGTTTCCTACTCCTCCACTGTTCAATGTGTAATGAGAAACGCAAAACAATTCCCTTTCACGTATTTACACTCTGAGATGTCACGAAGTTCCGCAGTTTTAATGCGCACTTTATATTATTGACACTTTTCACTGTTTCCTTACTGCTGTGAATAGTCCCATTATCTCTCAGAAACGTTGAAAGAAGTTCTTTAAGTGGAGTTTTAGGCACTTCCAAAAAACCCACGATTAAATTGCGATGAAGAGTCGAAGTTTTCGTACAAACCGCCCTACAAAATCAAAGGGAAAACATCCTTAGTGAGTACTTTGTTTCGATGAGAAAAGCATGAAAATATTTGACTTTTCAATATATTTTTTTTCAGGTGGCGGTTGCTAAAAAACACCACCAAGATGTGAAGGGAGGTATTCTGTTGTCCGAACTGAATGATTGTATCCCAAATGGTGAAAAAGTGTTAGAGGTTAATCTTTCTCATATTTCATCAGGCTGCATCATCATACTTAATTTTAAACGTTTTTTATATAGTCTGCATCTAATAGCATCCTATTCTTCGAGTCATGAATCTGGTTTTTCAAATG